TTTGTCTGTTACTCACCTAAGGGAGATGTTCAAAAAACAGTTGGCTATAAGGGTCTGGAGATGGAAAGTGGGGTTTCTAAGCATCTCAGTGTGGCAGGTGGAGATCATCAAGGGGATGAGTGTCACCAGAGAGGACTGAGCACCAAGCCCTGGGGCCACGTGGGCTGGAGCCCCCTGGGACACACTCATAGGAATGTCTGCAAGGTGGCCCTGCCTCTCGTTGGGTGTCTACTCCAATTACGTGTTCCGGATCTGGGGGATAACCCCCAGCCAATAGAATGGGTTTGGGGATAACCCCCACCCCCCAATAGAATGGGTTTGGAGACCCACTAGACCCACTGGAAGCTGGACCTGAGCTAACCCCATTGATCACCTGACTGCTAAAAGCCTCTGCTCTGACTGGCAGGTGGCCGTGACATGTGGGTCTCTTGGAATTAGCCTCAGTTCAGAGCCAGTGTCTACTAAAACCAGAAAATTCTGATTATTTCCTTTTCCCCAGGGCACGTCACCTGGTAAGTGCTGTGAGTTCCTTTGGAGAAGGCTAGGAGAGAGGTGAACAGGGCCTATTTTTAGCAGTATGGCAGGGTCCTTCCCTAAGAGCGCCTCATTGCCCATTTTTAGGAAGTTTACCAGCCTGCTGCTAAACACAGGCATGACAGTATTTAAAATGAAACTCTACATGTTTGCAATCAAGTAAATTATATTTAAAACAACGGTAACAACTCAAAACGCACCGCTTCCTTACGATGTTACTGGACTCTACTGCGATCTATGCCCCGACATCATTCACCTCCGTCCGTCTGTCCGGGAGAACTAGTTACACATCAGGTGTGATTGTGTATTTCTTTGCAACTCTGAATTCATTGATGTTACATTGGCAACTTGAATGTGGCTGTTGCTGGAAGCCTCTGTACCACAGAAATTGGCAAAGGCTACAAACCAGGACTCACATTCATTGCTTTATTGATGAAGGAAAGGAGATTAATGCAGATTAAAAATTAAAGCCGAAGTCGGACGCTCAACCGACTGAGCCACCCAGGCGCCCCTCCTTCCATTTTCTTCTTGGACACAAATGAAAACATCAATCCACATTTACGTCCCTGATTAGTGGCAGGTCACAGGGACCACAGGGAGACAGAGTCGGACAGCAAGCACACTCAACTTCTGAGGCGTTTTCCTGTAAAGGAAGGGAGCTGAAGAGACGAAGGCCTCTCCACCTCAGGCAGATGGGTCATAGGCAAGAAGCGGGGGGAGAAATTTGGGGCGGCCCAGTCCTGTCCCCATCTTGAGCACCAGGTCATTCTAGGGCCACACCCGGGTTCCACTCGGACGTCAGAACGCAGAGCCCAGGCCCCAAAGCCTGGCCCCAGGGCTCAGAGCCCCAAATGGAGATGGAACCCCAAAATCGGCCTGACACCCTAGCCCCTCCCTCCCAGGCTGTCCAGCCCCCAGAAATGTTGTAAGGCTGCTGGGCAGTGACAAGGGTCCCTTGAGGACAGTGATGGCGAACCTGGGTGGGCTGCGGTCAACTGTGTGGGTGCAGGTGCACAGTGGGGAGGGAGGCAGTTTGACGGGGGCGGGGGCGGTGCTTAGGCAGTCGGATGGAGAGCAAGGGCTCAGAGAGTCAAGCGGTGCCGGGGAGTGACTGTGACACAGGCTAGGGACTCTAAGCCTGCGAAGGGGAGGGAGAACAGGCAGCCCTGGGCTGCCCAGGGGGGATGGTGAGCGCTCCCCCTTCAGTGGCTGCGGAGCTGGGGGCTTCATGGGGTTGGTGTGTTAGGGGAGGGAGCTGGCAGGTGGGCAGGAGGAATCCCCGGGCTGCTGGTAGGGGAGTCTGTGGTGGGCGCAGTTCTCAGTGATGACAAAGTCTAGGGTCTGCCCTGGGAGAGGGTGGAGGACAGGGTCGCTGGGGAAGGAGGTCAGGCACTGGGATGCCCGGTGCCGGCCCATCACCCACCTGGCTTCTGAAAGTGTAGGTAGTGGCAGACGTCGGACCTGGAAGTGACAGGGAAGAAAGAGCACGCAGGACCCCCACCCACCTTTGGGCCCGGTCGGGGGGGAGTGAGGGGGAACTGGCCACCGTTGAGAGGGCTGCAAGGGGACGCTGCCCACTGTGGGGAGCAGGTTTCTGAGGCTGCAGGAAGGTCAAGGAAACACTCTGAGACGTGATGAGCCGCCCCCCCCCCCCCGCACACCCGGTGGCACATGGGATGGGGGCGGATGGGAGGCGGGGTCAGATCAGAGGGTGAACATCAGGGGGTACTTGGGTTCCCGTGCTAACTGTTTAAACGAGGACGAAGGGCGTGCGAGATGGGGGTTCCCGAAGGTACCATGGCTCATGGGGACGAGTGGGGGTGGCGGGGGCGGGTCTGGCCAGCGGCCTGCAGGGCTCCAGTCTCTTCTCTGTCCCGGCTGCCTCTGAGAAATGAGGAGAGTGATAAGTGCCTTGCAGGGCCGTGCTGAGCATCAGGGAGCCAGGCACTGAGTGGGACTTGGGGTTCTTATCACTACAACCCCCAGCAACACTGTCAATGGAGGCAGTTTGATGGGCGCAGGTGAGCGTGGTGGCGGTTTCGGAGGGGTGTCTGGTTTCTCCAGAGGGTTTAATATCTGGCTGGGTTCTCAGCAGCCCAGGAAAGGATAGAGGCAGGACCCCTCTGGCCCAGCATCTTTGCAGACAGGTGGACGTCTGCAAGTGGGCTTGACCTTGAGCCTTGAGGCTGATGGCTCTGTCCTGGGGAACGGCAGGGAAGAGCCCTGACATGTAGGGGGACGGAGAAACACTGACGCATAGTTCTGTTGTTCAACTTCCCCTCTAGGGTATGGGCTCCGCCTGGCCAAGAGCCTCATGGAACCCTGGGGCCTAGCTATCAGAGCGGAGTGAGAGGGGGATAGGGTGGAGGGGGAGAAGGTGGGGACAAGGTGCAGCATTAAATGGAGTGATGGGGGCTCACTGAGAAG